CCCCAAAACCCCAAAACCCCAAAACCCCAAAACCCCAAAACCCCAAAACCCCTTCATCCCGGGTTCATATAGAAAATCTATAAATGCTCTATTCTAAACTATTATTTTATAATTAAATAATATCTGGAAAGATGAAATTGCTCATTTGTGCAGTACTCCTAGTATCTGTTGCTTTGGCTTCCCACCCAATCAACAAAGAGATTGTTGAGGAAATCAAGCAAGCCACTAAGTTGTGGACTCCTACAGACCCAGAAGAGAACATCTTCAGGTTCCACCACACTGAAACTCTTGTTTCCATGCTTGGAACAAAAATTGATCACGAGAGAGATATGGAAGTAGGAGAAGATATGGGAATCAACGACTACCTTGAAGAAGGAGAGAACTCAGTTCCATCCAGTTTCGACTCTAGAGAGGCTTGGGGAGACATCTGCCCATTCAACATCAAGGACCAAGGAGCTTGCGGATCCTGCTGGGCTTTCGGTGCTATTGAAGCTTTTGAAGATAGAATCTGCATCCAATCTGAAGGAAAATTCACTACTGACTTGTCTGAACAACACCTCGTCTCATGCGACTACGTCGGCATGGGATGCTCCGGTGGATGGCCACTCAGTGCCTTCGGATATCTTTCACTAATGGGAGTCCCATCTGAAGAATGTCAACCATATTACTCAGGACAGACCGGATCCGCTTGGGGATGCAAGAGCAAGTGCCAAGACACCAACGATTCAAACAAGAGATACAGATGCAAGTACCCATGGATGAACTTCACCAACAAGGGAATCAAGGCTGAAATCATGAAGAACGGACCAGTTGAGACTACCATGATGGTCTATGAAGATTTCATGAGTTACAAGGAAGGAATCTACCACCATGTCGCTGGAAAATTACTCGGAGGACATGCCATCAAGCTCGTTGGATGGGGAGTCGAAGAAGGAGTTAAGTACTGGATCATGGCTAACTCTTGGAGTGAAAACTGGGGAGAAAACGGATACTTCAGAATTGTTGAAGGTAACTCAAGTGCCGGAAACTCTGGATTCTCTTGTACTCCATATGCTTACTAAGTTGCTATAAGAATTATACAAAAATCTCTTAAAAAGATGACTTTATTATTACGCGCCTGGTTCAAAGTGACATAGTCAAAAAGGGGTTTTGGGGTTTTGGGGTTTTGGGGTTTTGGGG